TAGTATTTATAATGGTGAACTATACGATAGTCGAAATGATCGTCCTAACTGGGCTCGAGCAGGATTTAATGATTCTTTATCAGCTTGGATTATGCCTGAATCAATGCCATCACCACTTAACAGTTCGTGCAATGGTTCGCTTGTTCTCCAGGACATGTTACCAATTCGAGCTGGATCTGATGCATTACATGTTGAAGTTATGACAGATAATCAACAACAAGGTTACTTGAATCCTGAAGATACAGATGAAATCTTAGATGGATTAGAAAAGGATTAGAAAAGGATAATTTGAGGAGAGAGGAGAAGAGAATCGAGTTACAAAAATATTCCCAAATTTATTTTCAATTAGAGAAGAAAATCTATGCATGAAAAGCAAAAATCTTTATACATTGAATTTAACGGAGTGGGTAGCAGCCGACTATAGGGGATAAGGTTCTTATTCATCCGTTTATTACGAAAAATGTAACTGTAATTCTTCTGTGAAAACGAAGGATTGAATACTGGATAAAATGTCTGATGTTAATTATTTCATGTAAAATAATCTGCAGATGAAAGATTTTTTAATGAATTTATAAATAGGCAAACCCCGTTTAGATTTTTCTCTAACGTTCCCAGTTTGTCGAGGATGCTTCAAAATATATGTCCTAAAGTTTTCTCGGCCTACTGACATTATTTGTCTAAGAAAAAAATTATTTACTTACAAAAACAATATTAAATTTTTGAACAAGGGACTGTTATTAAAAAAATTCCTCTTCGTTTTCCATTTATCATAAAAACTTAAATTCGTAACTAGATCGATAGAGAAATGTGTGGGGAATACTTACTACGATAAAATATGTAAAACGTTTTGTTCTTCCTTCCTGTTATTGACTAATTAGCACTTATTAACGTTAATTTAGCCTACTCCACTAGATGAAAGTTCTATTTATAAAATAACAACTCAACGAAAAACTTCAAGGAATACCTCATCTGATAGAGAATTTCATGAACTACAAGATAACTGCCGTAAGAGTCATTAAAAATAAGCCACGACCTTTACAGTATAATGTTGCTCAATCGATTATCTCAGATTTCTTCCAACATAGTAGACTTCTTTAAAGCAAACATTCATGAATTTTCGCGGATTTTGGCAGGATTTTTCAAAATTTGTTAAACTCTATTTTTTAAATTAAATGGTACTAAATTTTAAAATTTTATAAACCATATTTTGCAATGTAAAAACCGAGTTTAACGAATTTTAAAAAATCTTTCATTCATATTCCAGAGAATCTGATTCTGAACAACTTTTGTATCAACACTTTTCCTTTGAGCGAAATTTGGTGTTTTGAAAATCCATTTCAAGCCGAACATAAGCTAAAATTTTGAAGTATCGCATTTGACTCTCATACTTCACCAGTTTATAGAGGATACTTCGAAGTGTATGTTCGGAAGTCTTTTCGGCTTATGGACATTATTTGGCTGAGAAAAAAAATTAATTACTTAAAAACAATTGTGGTTAAAGTTTGGACTAAAAATGAATTCTAACACTTTTAAGAGCCATTAAAGAGCCATTAAAGCATGTCTAGAGCTCGCGGTTGTGTGAATTCGTATTAGACACTATCTAGTAGTTATGATAGAATTCTTAAGTCTAAGTAATGTGTCGTTACGAAGTTGTACGTAGTTTACATTGACAGTTTCCTTTGATACCGGAATTTCTGCATTTTCTGCAAAAATTGAATATCTCAGTAACGCAACAACTTTAGAATCTGCGGTTTTCGCCAAAATTCATGAAAATGTTTGCTTTAAAGAAGTCTACTATGTTGGAAGAAATCTGACATAATCGATTGAGCACGTTAGGTCGTGACTTATCTTTAATGGCTCTTAAAAGTGTTAGAATTCATTTTTAGTCCAAACTTTAAC